CAAACTGCTGATTTTAGATACAAATTATGCAAATTATAGTAAATTATACAAATTATACAATAGATTTAATGAATTAACGTTTTTAATTGTATTATATGTCAAATATAGATAGATACGTGACATTTATTTTAGTTAGGTGTCAATCAATATTATACAAATATATCAAACAATACTTGTTGGCGACAGACCTCTTTTTATAGATATTTCTATTTTTAAACCATATATTTTTTATATACAATTTTTGACATATATTTTTTATTATATTGTTTTGCTACATTGTGTCATATACGCTACCACTAAATACATCTATAATTTTGGTAAGTAATTTTATTTATATTACCCTATTTCACTGCCGTTGCCAGCCGTAATAATACTATTAATTTTATTATCTAATATTTCTAAATATAACTCCTAGCTTTTAGCGAAAAATTCATTTAAAGTATAAAAACAATTGTCAATTAGCCAATTTCGAAATTGGTATTTAAAAGAATTTATGGCCAATTCTTTAAAGTGACGGGGATTTTATTATATATTTTTATGGCCATTTATTTATATCAGTTTTATTCGCGAGTTCGATTCCTCGCACGGTTTTTTTTTCGGACTACTCTAATGCTGTTGGCCGCAGCTGGCCTTTACAGCTTCACCGGACGTTAGGGGGCGAGTGCAGATGGCACTTCAAACCCGCGGAAGGACTTATGGAGAGGCTGAAGGCCAACTCCTGCCTGACGGATACGAATTTAGTCTGAGGGCACCACTAGGGGTTCGAACCTCGGCTCAGGCAGTCGTAATTTCGATCCCCGTTTGAATTGGACGGGGGATCGATCGGAGGGGTCGTCGCACGGTGCAAACATTTATATTTATGAGTATGATTGTTTGTATCCGTCTAGATGTCTTCAATGTATATTATATATGTATTTACGAAAAAAATTCTATGTGTTTATATCAGTTGTCTAGTAACCATAACACAAGCTCTGCTTACAGTGGGACTAGATGGCGCTGTGTGCGTTGTCCTGAAATATATCTTGATATATAATATTATAAACGCGAAAGTTTGTTAGTATGAATGTTTGTTACTCTTTCACGCAAAAACTACTGAACGGGTTTTGTTGAAACTTTACAGTAATATAGCTACATCAGAATAACATATAGGCTATAAATTTCATGCGGGTGAAACTGGGGGCACAGCTAGTATATATCTTCACGACTGTTACCCAGATGCGGTGGTCAGAAGCATCTGAAATTTACGTGTTTTTTATTTTTACGCATTCTTGTATGTATTTGTTTGTGTATGAAGTTTTCACTCATACAACTATTCATTTTCGAAGTGGATTAACTTCCTGTTTTTAAACTAAACTAACAAATATAACGCACTATGTAAATAATGAAACAGTAGGCAAACATTATTAATAACTCTGGACAATTAACACAGCGCCATCTAGTACCACGATAAGCAGAGCTTGTTATAGTTACTAGACAACTTATATAAATACATAGATATATTTTTGTCGTAAATACATACATAATATACATAGAAAACACCCAGATCGATACAAACAATCGTATATAAATGTTTGCACGGTGCGAGGAATCGAACCCGATACCATTAGAAGTCAAGTGGTGTGCTAAACGCTTGAGTACCGAGGCCGTCAAAGTTGTTAAGTATAAAATTATCTCAGGATACTAACAAGTACAACAAGATGTACATAGATGGCGCTACCATACACTTAAATGGTAAAATGATTTATATAGAAAATATTAGTACGTAGATACTTAATTAAGAAAAAATATCTTACTAATATAATAAACGAGAAAGTTTGTGAGTATGGATGGATAGAGGATGAATGTTTGTTGCATCTATCACGCAAAAACTACTGAACGGATTTCAATGAAACTTTACAGTAAATTCAAATTCAATTTAAAAAAATCATATATTCATGTAGGGCATTTTCGCCGCTTTTGACGTTCATAACGTCAAATTTTCCAGTGATGACTTACGGAACAGAGACGTGGTCGCTAACTATGGGCCCCATCAACAAGCTCAGAGTCACTCAGAGGGCAATGGAGAGGGCTACGCTCGGAGTTACTCTGCGTGATCGAATCAGAAATGAGGAGATCCGCAGAAGAACCAGAGTGACCGACATAGCTCGAAGAATTGCGACTCTGAAGTGGCAATGGGCAGGGCACATAGCTCGTAGGACAGATGGCCGTTGGGGCAGTAAAGTCCTCGAGTGGCGACCACGGACCGGAAGACGCAGCGTGGGAAGGCCTCCAGCAAAGTGGACCGACGATCTGGTCAAGATCGCTGGAAGGCATTGGATGCGAGTAGCGCAGGACCGATCGTCGTGGAGATCTTTGGGGGAGGCCTATGTCCAGCAGTGGACGTCTTCCGGGCTGCGATGATGATGATGATGATGAACGTAATTTTTTTTATATTATAATATTACCCTACCGTTCAGTTCAGTATATTTCCAATTGAGAAGAACTGTCAAGAAACTCAATAGATTTTTTTTTTAATAATTTTAGTAATATAGCGTACACATCATAATAATACACAAGCTACAAATGCAGGTGAAACCGCGTGCAGAGTTAGTTAGTTACTTATAAAAACATATCTTAAGTATATTGTATTTGACGACCTCGGTGATCTAGCGGTTTAGCACACCGCTTGACTTCCAATGGTCGCGGGTTCGATTCCTCGCACAGTACAAACATTTATTATGAGTATGATCCTTTGTATCAGTCTGGGTGTTTGCTATGCATATTATGCATGTATTTACAAAACAATCTAAGTATTTATATCAGTTGTCTAGTACCCATAACATAAGCTTTAGCTCGCTTAACTTGGGTCTAGCTGCACTCGCGACTTCGGCCGCGTGGAATTTAACTTTATTTTACTAAAATAAAAGTAGCCTAAGATTACTCATTACATCAGCTACCTGCCAAAAAAAGTGCCGTCAAAATCGGACCAGTCATTACAGAGATTAGCCGAAACAAACAGACAGACAGACAAAAATTGTAAAAAATGTTATTTTGGAGTATATATCGTATTTATATTCAATTTATTCTTTATTGTACACACACACACATAATGTGTACACACACACACGTTATGTGTGTGTGTGTACAATAAAGAATAAAAAATAAAAAAATATATTCATATGCATATAGTAAAAATTGGTTATTTCAATATTACAAACAGACACTCCAATTTTATTTATATGTAGGTATGGATGTATGGATATCATTCAATATTTTTGTGGTCAAGTCACACCGGATGCATACTGCCTCGCAAAACCAATTCCATTATAGGATGTTGAATGATTGGTGATCAATACGGCAAAGAATAAACGTGCAGTACTGTCATGCTTTAATGAACTGTTGACGCAACTGTTTTTGTTACCTATTTCGTCAAGAGCCAATGATATGACGCTAATTACAAAACATTATCATATATAGAAAAGATTTATGATATTTTATATACTGTTCCTGTATATGTTTATAGTATGTAGGAGGGAACTGGCTTTTGTGGCACTGGTTTACCTGTATCGAAAGCCAGGGCTAAATATATTGAATTGTACTATAAAAGATTATTACTGTTATATGGGCGACGGTTACCATTTACCATCAGATAAACAGTAAGTTTGTTTACTATTTTAGTTGCTTAATAATAACAAAAAACCCACGATATTTCACACGCCATCTAGTCCCAAGCTGATTTACTTCTGTTGTATTAACATGTGTCCTAATATATTTTTTTATAAATACAAACATAATATACATAGAGACGGATCGTTAGTAATGGGGACTGATGACCCTATTGTTAGCAATGTACCAGGTTGACCTAGGCATGGTTCCCCCTGGAAAATATCGCGGTAAATTGCCATTTGCTTAGATGGGCTGACCAGACTTCATGCTCGTGTTATCATCCTCTACTGGCGATTCTCCAGCGTTAACCGTTAGCGCAGGCAAGTGCGACATTCTATTATCATCCTTAAAAAATATACATAGAGAACACCCAGACCAATACAAACAATCATACTGTAATCTATACAAAAGTTTGTACCGTGTGAGGAATCCAATCCGCGACAATCGGAATTAAAGCGGTGTGCAAAACCACTAGACTACCGAAGCCGTCAAAACCTAAAAAAATAGGTAATTACGTTTGCTCCCAATGACATGTCGGTTCTATGCTTTGTCTATGACGCGTCGTCTCCCGCGCATAATTAATGAACAACATGAAGTAATCGAACAAATTAACACAACAATATGGCGACCGTTCGAGGCGTTTTGTTTGCAAATTCGTTTTGTGTCTCGCTCTCGCGCAATAACGATTTATATGGACCTGTATTTTATATATGACGTGTATATTACGTATGGACCTATTTACGATATTACTCCTAATTAATTAAGCCACTAAATTAGTTTCTAAACTTATTTGTAATTCTATTAAACTAAAGGCTAAAGTGTGCAACTCTACTAAGCCATAAACTTTTTTTTATACTACGTAGGTGGCATTTGGCCCACCTGATGGTAAACGGTTACTGTAGCCTATGGACGCCTGAAACACTAGCGGTGTCACGTGCGCGTTGCCGATCCATAGGCAATATTAATATGCCCTTCTTGAAAAACCTCATGCTGTAGTCTCTCGAGAAACCTCAGCAGGTAGTTCATTCAACAATTTAAGTATACGCAGAAGGAAGCTTGGCACTGGCCGAGATCATTTAGGTTCCAGCGTTCAGTCCTTTTTATATTTGGTAGAACACATAAAGTGAGAAGTCTCACCTCAAGCTAAGTTTAAGTTGCTTTAAGTTCGATACCGCTCGAAACACCAAACTTGCAGTAACTAAATTTCATGTAAAGTTAATAGGTCTTTTATGGGAATGGGCACTGAACTTTAGAATATTATACCAAAAGATATAGTGAATCTACCTATAAGTGAATTCAAAATTTGTATTAACAAAGATTTATTGAATAAAGGCTACGTTTAAAAAAATACTAACCTCCGTATAAGGATGTGAACCATATAGCCTGTGGTCCCTCCGCGGAGGCCGGTACTGCGTTATCCGCGGTATCACCAGCGGTGGTCTGGAGTCGCGACTGTACACTGCACATTCTTCAGGAGTTATCCACTGGAAAGGAGAAAATGTTCACTTTAATACGTTGTGTTAAATATCATAGTACCGAGGCGAATGAATTTCGTTCGGAATCTACTAGATGGCGTTAATTTGTAAAAAAAAATATTTAATTGTATTTCCATAGATCACATGTGAACAATGTAAATAAAAGTGAGCTATATATCATTCTTAATAATCTTACTTTTAACTAATATTATAAACACGGAATTTAGTGTTATTATTAGTTCATAATTCTTTCATGTAAAAACTACTAAACGGATTTTGATGAAACTTTACAGTAATATATCTTATATATGAGAATAACCATAGACTAAAATGGGGCGAAATATTATGATAAATGTCAAGTAAGTGTGATATAGACGAAGTTGCGTGACTGACTCACGTAACTTCGTCTCTATCTCTGTCTGTCTCTGTCTTCGTCTATATCTCAACAACTAGTCTCTACTATAATTTTAAATAATAATTTGTACATAATTCTTACGTAAGTTACTGTATCACCATTTCAAACATTAATTATCCTGCTAAAGAAATAACCAATTCTTTTTATTTACCGAATACAGCTGTATCCCGATTAATTTGGTATTTTAATTTCCAAAAACATAAAGCATTTCAATAATAATTGCAATGCAAGTCGGGAATAATCAATTACATTAATTGTGAACGAAGCAGCAAGAAACCGTGCATTTATATTACGACACTGTAGTGTAGGCATCAAGCTGCATTAAGAAATTAAAATGCCACTGCATTATTAGAACACTGTCATTAAAACAAAAACAGTCATTAAAACCTTGCAATAATTCGCGTGCACTCTAATTTACAGAAATTACTAGTTGAGCCTGCATTTTTACCCGCGAAATTAATAACCTATGTATCAAATCTTTTTTCGAGTATTTCAAAACCTCATATTAAAGAGCTCAAACTTTAATATATATTCATATATATATTTAATAATAAGTATTAGTTATATGAGTACAGGAGCCAATAGAATATCAGCGCTGCAGATTTATCTGTAGCTTTATGCTTTATTCACCTTTGTCGCACATAAAGTCACCTTTATTTCTTTTATTTGTTCATTTATTTTTCTGTACCTCGTTTATGCTATATGTCTGTAGTTGGTGAATAAAGAAATTATCTATCTATGCACAATTGATGTATAAGCAATATTACTTTAAATATTCCTTATCCCATTCATATTGTGAGTGAGAGTGTTTAGTGCGCCTCCTACCGTCTCTCTTTATGTAAATACTCTCTGTTAGCACCGGGTTGACTGTAAGAGATTGCTGATAGCGATAAGACCGCCTTTTGTAAAACATTTATTTTCATTGTTTTGTACTTACTGTCCTATGTTTATGTATGTAATAATAATAATAATAATCTCTTTATTGCGCATAAAGAGTTATTATTATTATTATTGTCGGCGTAATATATTTTTCTCTTCCATTCATCCCGGTACACCGTCGTCTCGTTATTTACAGGGAGTTTCTTACCATATCATCTTTTACACAATCCATCCATCTCTTTTTTGGCCTTCCTCTGCCCTTATAACCATCCACATTCATATGTAACACTTTCCTTAAAATGTTATTTTCAAATAATATTAAAAAAACAATATTATTTTAAAGTTTCATTAAAAATCATTCAGTAGATTTTGCGTGGAAGAGTAACAAACGTTAATCTATCCATACATCCGTACTCATAAACTTTCGCATTTATAATATTGGTAAGATAATGAAAACGTACACTCTATATGTAATATAAAAACATGTAGTAACGACCGTTGTGTCGTAACCATCGAGTAATGTACTCTGACATTATGGTAACATCAACAAATGTCATGTTACCTAACGTTTTATTAAATAAAATTACTTTAACTATGAGAGTTTGTCCATTTCCAGTTCAAATAGCAACTCTATATAATGATTTGTTATTAAATTTATATTTCAAATAACATTTCATTAATTGTTTTTTTAAACATTTTTTTAATATTTAATTACTAGACCAAAAAGTGAGTAAACAAGTTTTTAAATGCCTAAAATAAGACAATGCATTAAAATCATTAAATAATAAAAGAACAAGAAGATCAAACAAAAAAATAGAATAGAAAAGATTTCTTTTTTCGCATTAAATTCATAAAAAAAAGTTAAATAAGTACAAGAAAATTAAACAAAAAATAATATAATAGAAATAATTTCTATTCTATTCTATTTAATAGCTGTAAAAGGCAGTGAATACTATAGACGTCGATTAAGTAATGAGTATGTAATAAAGTTGATAAGCATAGACGGGGAAGTGAGTTGCAGACACTAACTGGCAGTGACCATAAGGTCAATAGTCAATTTCAACGCTGCGCTGGCGAGATGCGGGCCCACCAAGGTTCTTGTACATAGAGGAGTGATAACGTTTGTGTTCATTTAATAAGCAAGCAAATTGATAATATATGCGAAAGTCTGGACATATGTCTGCCTTTTTGATGCCATTTCTCGACTAAATGCGTGAACGAATTAATAAAATTTGTTGTGAATTTAGATTATATCACAAGCATAAACATCATCTTTCCTTATGCGAGCAGCTAAGGAGTGGAACTCTCTACCAGCGTCTATTTTTCCTGCCTCTTACAACATTGGGTCTTTTAAGTCAAGAGTGAATAGGCATTATTTGAGCTTGCGTGTAACAGCTTAGACCACATCATCACTTAACATCAGGTGAGATTGCGGTCAAACGCGCTCAAATTTTAATATATAAAAAAAAACATAAATACATTACTATTTTTAAATATGCATAATATACATAGAAAACACCCAGACTGACAAACAATCATACTCATGAATATAAATTTTTGCACCGTGCTAGGAATCGAACCCGCGATCATCCGAAGTAAAGATGTGTGCAAAACCTCTGAACAATCGAAGCCGTCAAATATATTTATTATATTAAAAAATTCGGTCGAATTCGCGGAAAACAGCCAATATTAAAAAAAAAAACAGTGGTTCAAAAGATAATTAATGATTATTATGACCCGGGAAATAATTACCAATGTGCCATCTAGTTTAAAACTAAACAAACTTTGTACAGTTGTAGTAGACAACTGACAGAAATACATAAAAGCTAAAAGCAGTTCATCCATAGAAAACACTCAGACCAATTCTCATGAATACAAATCATTTATAATCATATACAAGCTCATTTGAAATTAAGAACTGACTTTTTTCTCAGTTCTTCTCATCTCGAAATCATTCCGAACTGACGGTATATTTCACATACCATAAGAGTCTGTAATAGACCTCCATGAATATACTGAATAATTGATAATAACTTAATTTGAGACTTAGAAAACCGCATGAATTGTTTAACCGTTCGAAAATAGAACCCGCAACCACTTGACACAGTGCGTATACAAAACCACGAGACCACCGAGACCGTCACTATGGTTCATAATAGGAAGTATTTGCTACATATAGCATACTTTCCACAATCAATTTGGTATTGACAAGCAATTAATTTTCAAGGTACATTAAACAACATGAGATACATTGCTATGTAAATATTATTGTTCGGTATGCCATATGGTTATATAGTGTTGTGTAGTTTGCAGATGATCTAGTTCGGAAAACCGCTCTTAGATACGAACTACGCGAACTAAGTCCCAGATATTCCGCTCTTTAGTTTATTAAACAACATACTATAGAAGTGTTATTAAAAAAAAGAAAAAGTACACATATTTACGGGCTAAGAAAAGCAAGACAGAAGTCGAAAATTTAAGAGCATACCTACTCCACTTGAGTCCAAAGAAAAACAAATTAACCGAGTTAGACTTTATAAGAAGTCGTCAATGTGGATACCTCAGTTTCGATATCAGCTCCCAAGAAGCTTACTTTGTAAATTGTTTCTTTTGCATTGTAAGATAAGGCAGGATATGATGGATGACATCATATAATAATTAGCAATGACGACGTATAAGTGGTACCATATGCATCACCGTCCCGATATATAAGCGACGGTTACCACTTGCCATTTGATGGGCTGTCACACTGTTTGCCATTCATATCATTACATAATATAAAACAAAGTAGCTTTCGCTGTCTGTCCGTCCCTATGCATGCTTACATCTTTAAAACTACCCAACGGATTTTGAAGCGGTTTTTTTATCAGATAGAGTGATGTAAAAGCATAGTTTATATATATAATACATGTACACCCGTGCGAAGCTGATGCGAGTAGCTTTTTAGTGTAGTAGCTTTTTATATAAAAATATATTTGTGACCTAATAACAAGCTCACTTATCCGCCAGATTAGTCCTTACTCGAGTTTGAAGCGAAATAGTTTGCGAGGCAGAGACTCGCGAACTATTCTGCACGAACAAATTAATTCGCAGTAGAGCTGCGAACTAAATAGTGCGCTCGCGAACTATTCTGCACAAGACTAGTTATAATTATTATACAGATGCACCTGGGTTTCTACGTAGCCTTGAACGTGCCTGATTTGTTTAGAAATGCGGATATATTGTTACAATGAATCATTTACTCTCCGACGATAAGTACGTATCTATACGTGTTTACTTTTATAAAACACGCGACTTCATCTGCTTTTTGAGACATCATACAATTTATCTCCATATCAAATTTCTTTAGAATCCGAAAAAAGTTTATTAATGAAGTTTAAAAACATATAAACAAAAAAATTTGCATTTATCATATCGTTATAGATACATGGCCCACTCTGGTTGGAACTTGGTTATATAGCTTTGTGATTTTTTTAGGTATATATATAGCCTATGCGACTTCGGAATAAAATATCAAATAATGAAAGTTTCTCAAGTGATGCAGGTGAAAAGTTTTATCTAAATGAACTGGTATGGAACAGAAAAAATATAAATCGACAAACTTAGTGACTGTAATTAATACATTATCTATGTACAAAATAGATTTACACCATTTCACTGTCTTGTTACTCTTCACCACAAACACATCCAAAATTCAAAAATCATTTATTCATGT